GCTTATAAAAATAAAAGTAATTCTGCCTTCGCTTTATTTGCTCTAGCACAACTCTTTCTTTTTTCTTTTTCTTTCCTCTGAAGGGCTTAGTGACCCACAAAAAAAGCAAGCGATTGATAAATGTTCAACCTTGACCCAGGGCAAACAACCACTGATATGCTCAAATTCCTGGCCTTTTTATTACTTGGAATGTCAACCTAAAATACAAGCCGAGGCGCAGGCCCATATGCATGGATTACATAACATTTATTGAGTGTCCACTATACACCAGGTACCTTATGCACATTTGATGCCCCAACCAACCCTTATTCCAATTTTGCGGATGAGGATACAGGCTCTGTGAGTTCACAACGCTACTACGTAGCAGACCTAGGATCAGAAGCCAGGTCAGACGTGTGACACTCAGGACTAATCAGAACTACGAGCTGACCGTTATGGCCCTGGGATTAATCATTCACTCGGATTATTTTAAAAACTCATCCCAACGAAACACGCAAAGCCCAACGCCCGAGAAAGTTGCACTGAGCGCGCTGAGATCTGCACCAAGGAAGATTCTGCTAGAGGAGTTAGGAGGCTCCACCACACGCCTACTAGGCAGAGTTCGATGTCCGACAGCTCCGGGCAGAGAGGACACCTGCTGCTCGGGTCAGCAGCCCCCGGGGAGGCCTACAGCTTTAAGGAGCTGGTCGCTGCGTGCACCGCTCCAGCCCTGGACTTGCCGCAGGCCCCTGAACCAGCGTGCAGCGCCTGCAGCCGGTTTGACCTTCCCCACTGCCCAGGAAGGGGGAATGCAGCGCCCCAGGGCTGGAGAGAGATTTAAGGACCTGGGAGGCTTCTCTACACCTCTGCACCCTTCACTGGCCACTGCAGCCCCATGCACTCACCGGGCAGCTGGAAACGGAGCTCCCGTCCACCTGCCCGGAGGACTCCGGCGGGGACCTCGGCGGAGGCCTGGGGCAATCTCAGGGGCCCCGTGCATCAGCACGGCCTGGGAACCACCGCGGTCTCCCTCCCCAAACCCGTCTCCTCAGGGCTGCCCCGCCTCCCTCACCTCGGCCGGGTCCCTTGCAGACAGCTCTCCGCCCGCTCCACCGCTACTCTCACGTCGCCGCCTCCGCCCGGCCTCCGCGGATACACAGACGCCCGCAGCGCAAAGCCGGAAGCAGGAGGACACCCGCGCCAAATGCGCATGCGTACTCCCGCCCCGGAGGCGTGACCCGGAAGGGGGCGTGGCAGGGAGGCGTGGCTGTCTCCTGCACCTGCGACTCAGTCTTAGCTGGGGTCCCGAGCAGTGGGAAGGGTCCCTGGGGTTCACGCAGTTGAGGAGCTCAAGGACGGGGTCTTGTGAGGGCGAGGGAGGCCCTTGCGGAGGACCAGTGGGCTTGAAGGACATTTTTTTACGAGTGGACCGAAGGGATCCTGGCTGCTAGGGAAGATGGGTGGTTCCTGGGGGCCATGGGGTGGACGGCTTTGTGGGGTCAGTAGGAATGATTCGTGCAGCTGGAGAGGGTATCCCAAGGGCACGGCACAATTGAGATCATCAGAGATAACGGGACTGGAGGGACATCTGGTGGGGTCCTGGGGTATCAGTGGAACTGGGGAGGGAGGCAGTGGGGTGAGGGGCAGTTCTAATGAGGAGATCTTGGGGGGGCAGTGAGGGCTGTCTTGGAGGATATAGGGAGTGGTGGGGAAAGGGAGTCAGCAGGCACTGGGAAACCTGAGTTGAGCACCTAAAGGAGATGAGGCTGATGGCAGGGAATCTGAGGGGTAGAGTCTTGCTAAGTAGCAGCACAGATTATAAGAAGGTGGGTAAAAATGAGACATGTACCTCTCAGGTGTCCTAAGACATCCCCATATAGTACCATCAGACACTCCAAACACATAGACACCAGGGCAGGTACCACCAAACATTCAAAAGCAGGCTTCTAGGCACTCCCAAATGCATCAAACACCCCCAAACTTTCAGAATCTGAGAAAGCCTGCCAAACATCCCCAAAGCACCCAATACTCTCACCTAGGAGCCGTCACAAACCCACAAACAAGCTTTTGGACATCGAGAATCATACCAAGATCCCATATGGGAACTTCCAGGTACCACAAAGCTACCAGCAATCCAGATGCTGTCAGATATCTTTGAGTTGTTTCTCATCTGAAAACACCAGCCAAAGAGCCTGCCCCATACTCCACACAGGTACTGCTAATGAACAACTGTAGACACAGGCTCTCACCCCCAGGTGACATCAGACCTTCCAGTCTTGAGGCTGGTGGCTCACAGGTGGGGCAGTTGGGTAGAAACCAGGAGGCAGCTGGCCAAAGTCCAGGCTGGTCAAACAGACTGCAAATGCGCTTGAATACAGGAACAGTATATTAGTGTTACCATTGATACACTGTGTCAACTTGGGAAGTCCAGAAGCTTAACTAAGTAACTCAGGAGCTCCACATCCTGGGCTGTAGAGGACATGCCCTTACCACTGGTAGGATTCACTGTGTTAACTTGAGTTTAGAAGATTAACTAAGTGACTCAGCAGGGGGCCAGGGTCCTCACTTTGTAAACATCCTCAGCCTGTGCAAGAGGAGGATAAGGGGGTTTGGTGAGTGCTTGGGGATTGGGGGGGGGGCTGCTAACAATATAAGAGAGGAAAAGAGGCTTGATTAACCCTCCCACTTTGCATTTATTGTCTTCTGCCACCTTGAAGTGCTGCCCCGTGCTGTGCCACTCTGCCTTGGAGCCAGCTGCTTAAGTGACTGAAACCTCTGCACATTGTGAGCTAGATAAACCTTTCCTCCCTTCATTTTAGGCATCAAGTATTTTGTCTCAGCAATAAGAGAAAAGTAATCAAGACATTTGGCAAGAGTTTTAAGTCAGATGCCCGGGGTGACTACTTACAAAAAGTTTAAGTTCAATCTTCATGGTCATGGAGGAGTGTGTCTAAGAAATTGGGGGTTCCAGAAACATACAGACATACCTCATCAGACACCCCAACTCAGTGGAAGTCAGAGGTTACAGCATAGGTTCTTCAGAGGGCAGAGGTGGAGAAATGGCCCTTCTGTAAATCGCTACAGCTTTTGCGTTTTGTGTCAAAGGCAATTGGGAGTGATTGAAGATTTTTAAGCAGGAAGAGTGGCTGGACCTATGTCTACAGCCAACCAAAGTTACAGAAACCTTCAGATTGACACAATTATCTCCCTAAATATAGAAACCAATTTTCTCAAGGAGCCTACCAGAAAGGAGAAGTATCTTTTATCTTTATCTATCCAAAACTGCTCCAGCTGTGCTGAATGGCCGCCAGCGGGAAAGACTCTCAGCTAGTCAGGTACCCTTACTGAAGCCTGCTGGAGGAGCTGGGGTTACGGCTCAGGAAGGGGTGGAAGAGGAAGTTGCAGGATGGCATTGAGGAGCAAGCCACAGGCAACCAAAGGCCTTCAGAGTGGCCAGGTCACTAAGCCTAGGGTGTCTGTGTGGTAGGAGAGAGGTGGTCACCTGGAGCAGACCTGTTCTCTATTGTGTATTGTGCTTCCAGGCCTGTTCTGCTATACATGGAACCCCAACCCCGGGCTGTGGACAGGTTAGGGCCTGGGCCGAGCCACAGAAGTGAGAGAAGCTTCCCTGGTATTTACCCCTCGGTAATGCAGCTGGATATCCGCAAACCAGCCCCACGGCATCCCTCACTGTGGGCAAAGTCTCCCACCTGTCCCTGGGTCCAAAATGTTGAAGACCCCTGCTCTACAGGCAGGACAGAGATGGCCAAGTAGCCTCAGGGATCTAGGACTGTGAAGACTCTGGGTGCTGTTATCAGCCTATTGGGAAGGTAACACAAGTCTTTGGGTGCCACCTGCCTCCCAACACGGATGTGACGGGCTGTGGTTACAGCGCAGGGCTAAGACTATGATCTAAACGCTGGCGTGGCCTCTTGTGGGTGGAAAGGCTCTGGACAATAGGCAGTGAAGGTGACAGCAGCCGTGGAGAGGAGCAGGGGAGGGAAGGTGAGGGAAGATGATACATGGACCCACTGCCCTGTGCACTGGGGATCATGGTCAATGCCGCCCACATCGCTTTCCACACAAATACAGTCTTCCTAAACCTCCAAGGAGGCCAGAGATCAATGCATTCCAACTCGAACCTGCACTGCAGCCTTCAGAGAAAGAACTCAATTCCCTGTGCCCCACGAGTAGGCTTCACCTCACAATCTGCTAGGAGGTTGCTACCATCACAAGGTGGTTAAGGTCTGCATCACCGCCTACCCCCAGTACGGTAAGACAGGAAGGCCTCAAAGCCAGCACTCCATCTGTGCCCCAACACCGGACACACCCAGGATGGGGGTGCAGTACCAGATCCCTGGCTGGCGCCTCTCGAAACCACCCACAGAAAGACGAAAAGATGGGGAGGCCCTTGGGGGCCAAAGTTCTTAGTAAACAGAATGTGGTATCCTGAATTGGATCTGCTGAGAAACAAACAAATTAGCAAAATGCAGGAAATCAAAGTCAAGCCTGAGGTCTGGGAGTAACACTGAACAAATGTTGGCTCTTAAACTGGGACGGATGGATGGGAGTTGCATAGGATGTTAACACGTGGTCACAGGTGAAATAATACCTGATCCAGATATCAGTGGGTCCCAGAAGAAATCAGGGGGAAAATAAAAGACTTCCTAGAATGAAATGCTAGTGAGAGCACAGTTTCCCAAAATAATTTCTTTTCTTATTGGGGGGGGGGGCACTCGGAATGGAACTCAGGACCTTGTACTTAGCAGGTAGGTGCTTATGCTGCTGAGCTATGTCCCCAGTCTTTCCCAAATCATTGCTTACTTTCTTTCTTTGGTACCAGGGATCAAACTCACAACCCCCCAAATCATTTCTATGAGGCATAATGAAAACAATTCTAATTCCTCCCCGAGAGCCCCCGGGCACTGTCTCTACTGGACAAGATAAAGGAGAACAGGGATTCAAACCGCAGGGCGAGGCAGGAGAGCAGGGAGGGGCATGGATTGGGGTGTTGGACTTACCGGGGCTCGGGCACGGCTTCCTGCACAGTGGGCAGCTGGAGTGGCCTGCGAGGGTCCCCCGAGCCAGCTGGTGCCCGTGGACACACTCGCACCTGTCCCTGCCGTCCTGGGCTTTGTCCTTCAGCTGCGCCGGGCTCTTTCCCTGCAGGGAGGCTGGGTGTCAGGGCGCCCTTGGGGTGGGAGCCAGTGAAGGAAATGGGGGGCTCCTGGCTGCTCCCCCGGCCCAGTCCGCCACCTTCTCCTTCTGCCTGGTGACCCGGCTGCGTAAGCTGCTGAGACTCCTCTTCACCCTGGTGCTCTTGATGATCTTCTCATTCTTGGGGGCACCATCCTCGGTCCTAGAGGGTGAGAAGGGCTGATGAGGATGGTCCCCATCACTTGGGAGCCACTGGGGAGCTCAGGCCTGCTAACGCTCCTGACACTTTCTGTGGCCCCTGGCTCCCTTCCTCCCTCACATATTCACTCAGCAAACATTCAAAGATGTCTGTAAAGTTCCTGGAACGGAAGGGACTGGTTTTGCAGGAGGGACTCAAACATGACTGATTTCAAGCTTGAGGCTCCAAACCCAGCTGGAATCAGCTCTGTCCACCTCTGGGCTGGCCTCTCATTCCCACTCTTCACCCCAGGCCTGGTCTAATGGGCCTTTAAACTCCGTCCATTTCTACATCCCTTTCTCCTCTCAATGTCCACTCAGATTCCGGGGACTCATCTGACAAAAGTTTATAGAACCAGGGAGCAGCGGACAAGCTAGCCCTGGCAGAAGTGCTTCCTTGGAGAAAGACTCTTTTCCGCCAGCCCAGGTGCCTGCTAATATCCTCGATTGTTTGTTGAGCGAGTAACTGAGGGAGGTTAGAGGCCTACACCCTGCTCTGCCCCCCAGCCTCTGGCCCCAGCCCTGGCTGCGGTTCAGCTCCCTGCTCTGAAGTCTCTGCAGATCCCGGACTCACTCGGACAGGAACTCGAACCAGGTGAGGCTGGCAGGGGCTGCTCCGGGGCTGGTGGCCAGGCGAGCCCTGCCGGGTGGACAGGGTGGAGGTGCGGGTCAGGGGCTGCTCGCTAGCTCAGGGCCCACGTCCTCCGGGCCTTGGGCGTGGACAGCACTGGGACCACATGTGCACATACACCCCAGTCCCTTTTTGCACGCCTTATGATTCCCTCCCCTGCTGAGAACCGCCTCCCTCTCTGCTTTATTCTCTCTCATTTTGCTCTGCACATTTTACTCCAGATACCTCATATGAGAGACCCCCCGTTTTTCTACAAATGACTCGAGCGTATCCCCCTCACGGCAGAGTAGTACTCCACCGTGTAACCCATGTTTTTATCCAGTCATCGGCCGGGGCCATGGAGGTCCCTGCCGGGGTTTAGCTGTTATGAGAGGTGCTGTGATAATCGCAGGAATGCGCTGTCTAGATTTAGAGCTCTTTGGGGAAGAACGCTAGATGGGGAAGGGCTGGCCCGAATGGCGCAGACCTGTCCTCTCCTAGTCTCCCACCTTCTCCCTCACCGGGCTCCACCCCCGCTCCTGCCCGCCCCTCCCACTTACCCGTGGTACTGGCGGAGCTCCTGCAGCACCTGCTGAACGATCAGCCTGGGGGACGGAAGGGGGGGCCCCGGGAGGCCCCCAGGGGCCGGGGTTACTGACCCTGTCTCCAGTTCCTGACAGGAGGACCCCCGGTCCAGCGTGGCTCTGATAGACCCACCGGCCGCCCAGTGCCCTGCACGGGGCAGAGCCACAGTGATGGAGGTAGGTGGGGAGAGGGCAGGTCCCTCCAGGTCACCCAGGCTGAGCACAGCTCCTCTCCTCCTCCCCTGCCCCGCAGACACTTACACATGGTCTGGTTCCACGTGGTCCTTTTCCAGGCTCTCCAGCTCTGGGGGTTCCAGGCCTGGAAGGAGCCCAGAGTAGGGGTATGGGCGTGAGGGTCCAGCCGGGTGCCTGCCCTTCCTGGTTCCCTGCAGGAAGGGACACTTCCCAGGCAGGACCTGTCACTCTTGGGGACAAGGTGGGGGAGAGGATAGAGAGCCAGGGACAGAGGTGTCCCAGGGTGTCACGAGCACCTGATCTCCTGATGATCCTACAGAGATATGCTTATTGCGTCTTTAAAAATATTAATTAACTGATCAATCAATTAATCAGTGTGCAGTAGTGAGGACTGAACTCTGTGGTGCTCCAACCCTCAGCTACACCCCCAGCCCCCTTACTTTTTATTTTATTTGAAAGCTTTTGCTATATAGCCCAGGCTGCCCTGGAATTTGTGATCTTTCTGTCTCAGCCTCCCAAGTAGCTGGGGTTAGAGGCATGCGCTCCTGTGCCCAGCTCTTGTGCCTTTTATATTTTGTTTTCTTGAGATAGGGTCTCCATCTACAGTCCAGACTGGAACTGAACACACTAGGTAGCCCCGACTAGCCCCCAATTCATGGTGCTCCTCGTGCCTCAGCCTCCTGAGTACTGGGATCACAAGCATGCACCACCACGCCCGGCCTTGGACCTTCTAGAGGGAACCACAGAAGCTTCAAGGGCAGCCAGAGAGTGGCTGGTTCAGGTTTACACAGCATGTCTGTGTACAAGAGCACGGTGTAGGCTCTCCAGGTACAGATTCAGAGGCAAACAGAAGCAGAACACAGGCCCGGAATCCCAGCAGTCTGGGAAACTGAGGCAGAAGGGTTGCAAATTCTAGCCCAGCCTGGACAACCTAGCAAGACCCTGTCTCAAAATTAAAATAAATAAATATATACATAAAAAAGGGCTGGGGATGTAGCTTCATATGAAGACCCAGAGTTCAACCCCCAGCACAGGGGGGAAATAAACAAAGGGATAGAGGCAGAGGCAGAGGCAGGGACAGGGGCAGGGGCAGGGGCAGAGAGAGAGAGAGAGAGAGAGAGAGAGAGAGAGAGAGAGAGAGAGAGAAAAACAGAGCCCTGGGAAGCTCACATGACCTACTCACATGACCTGCAGGCCATGCAGGGGCCCCCACACCAGTCCCCCAGCCCCTGTCCCCTCCTGAGGCCCAGCTGTGGCCCAGCTGTCTCTTTCTCTCTCTATGTATACGTGTCCCCTGTTCTTGCAGGCGCCCTTCTCCTGTCTGCCTGTTCCTGGCTGGGCTGGAGCAGGCACCTCGCAGGCTGGGTTACCTTGCACGGGTGCAGCTTCTGAGCTCAGAGTGAGATCCAGGGAGCCGATCTCCTCGCAGGCCAGGGGCGCCGACCTGGACCTCCCTCTCTTCTCGGGGCTACCACCATCCTGTGGGGCAGAAGTGACTCATGAGCTGGGCCGCAGGCAGAGGCTCCCAGGCACTTGTGGCCAGGGCCACATCTATAGAACCCCAAGCCCTGGCCATGGCCCGGTTTTAGTTGCACCAACCCCAGTGTGGGCTTTGAGCTGGAGCCTGGAATGCAGAGGTACAGGAGCGGGGTCCCCAAACCTTGCCCAAGACACGCCAAGCACACACTGCCTTCTTCCCTGCAGAAGCCTGGAGGTGCAGGGTGAGACAGCTCCCTGGACTGGGAGTAGATGCCGTCATCACGTTGGGGTCCCATAGTGGCTTTCGAAGAAGGGGCAGAGGGAGCCCAGGGACACATTCATGCATACTCCCCGTCTCCAGCCACAGGCTGCCCTGCAACGCTCTGGGCTCTGCCAGCACCAAGGCTGCTGTGGTCTCTGTGTGCAGGTCTCACACCCAGGACCCCTCCCTCCCAGAGCTGGCTGTGCCTTCCGACCCAAAGCACTGGTTTGCAGACGCAAACTTGTACCACCATCAGGAGGGCATGGGTGGCACTCACTTTACACACATGTTCTGCCATGGACCTGCCCCCTGACAGGCTCCCTTGGGTCCAGGTCTTCAGCCCCTCTCCCGACAGATTGAGAGTAAGGCTGGCCAGTGTCCGAGAGAGGCCGGGCCCCCCATCTGCAGGCGGGGGGGCATCACAGCTGAGCCTGCGGGAAAGGGGGCTGTCAGAGCTTCTGTGCATGTTGTCTGTGGGACACCCCAGGCTTGGAGAGGCTGGTGGGGGTCCCCCCAGGTCAGGGAGGGGGTCTGTGTCTCCCGAAATTAGAGGGTTTGGCCTCAGCTGGAAGGGGAGAGGTGGGAACAGCTGGGTACATTTGCCCACTTTGCAGACTTGCAAGAATCCATCTTTTGCACAGATAGATTCCATTTGGGGTAACTAAGGAGGGCTGAGGGCAACATGCTGCCAGGTGCCAGTACTGTGGGGCACAGCAAGCCAGGCACAGGGGTGTGATTTGATCAAAGTGTGCCTGTGGCCTTCTGTACTTTTGTGCAAGTAGTGTGTGAACCGGCTGTGCCTGTAATCCCAGCACTCCGAGAGGCTGAGGCAGGACAATTTCAAATTTCAAATCAGCCTAAGCAACTTAGTGACTTAGTAAGATCCTGTCTCAACATTAAAATTAAAAAAGGGGGGGGGGGGCTGGGGATGGAGCTGGAGCGAAGGGCTTGGGTTCCATCCCCAGCACTGCAAAGGAATGCAAAACCACAGCTCATACCACTAACAGAGCTGGGGCATGCATCACGGTGAGTGTGCAAATCTGCAGGTGAGCAAGTTTCCAGACACCCAGTGCATACCTTTGGGTCTGTGTTTGTCTTCCGTGTGCGCCTGTGGTTTTCAGTGTGGGCTTGTGCATGGATGCTAGTCCTTGTACATGTGGTTCTGTGCAGCCACCAAGCCCAGGGTTGGTGGATGTCTGTGCACCCATGCATGTATGTGTGCATGTACAGGTGTGTTTGGGGCTGGACTTGTGTTCCTGTGTGCACATGTGTGTGCGTAAGAGCACATGTCTGTGTTTCATCTGACAGCACAGATCCCTGGTGGCCCCTGGGCCAGGCACAGGTGTGCCAGCTGGAAGTGTGACTAGAACCTGGCTCTGCCCAGGGCCTCGCCATCCTGGGGCTGCCCGGGCAGGGAGGATGCCAGGGCGGGGGCAGGTCTGACCTCTGCCAGCTCTCTGAGCAGCTCCGTGACCTCTCCCAGCTACGTCTTCGCCCCAGGATCTGGGCTCCTGCGGAGCTTGAGAAGGGCGAGTCTCTCTCCAATTCTGCCTTTGGGGTGCTGTTGCTTGAGGGCCCCTCAGGCGGGCTGGGGGGAGGGCCCCCCAGGCCCAGGTCCTGGAGATACTCGCTGCCCTCCAGGGCCTCCAAATCCAGGCTGAGGTCCTCTGTGCTCTCACTGAGCTGCTCTGCAAAACTGTCCTCCTGCAAGCAGCAGCAGAAGACACTGACTGAAGGGAAAGAGGCCCCCTGCTCTCCAATAACCGGATCCCACCCGGGCCCTTCCGGTCCAGCCTGGGCTTGGCCTTCTCACAACAGAAAGCCAGAGAGGGATGTCCCATCATACTCTGTCCAACCTGGGCCTTCCAGCCTTGCTCAGTCCCCCCGAGGCCTGGAGTCTGCGTTTTGCTGCCTCCTTCCTTAGCCTGAGTTTTCTTTCTTTTATTTTTTTATTTTTGAGACAAGGTCTCACTATGTAGCCCAGGCTGGCCTTGAACTCCCAGGGATCCCCCTGCCTCAGCCTCCTGAGACAACAGGTGTGTGCCACCATGCCCAGCTTAAAGCAGTATTTTAAATTTATTTATTTAGTTATGTCTTTTTGAGACAGGGTCTCATATGTGGTTCAGGCTGGCCTTAAGCTCATTTTGTAGCCCAGGCTGTTCTCAAAATCGTAAAGATCTTCCTGCCTCAGCCTCCTGAGTGCTGGGATGACAGGTGAGTACCACCATGCCTGGCTTTTAAAGCGATATTTTTTTAAAATTTGAAAACAATGCAAGGTGATCCACAGTGAATAAATTATCCCCATTTTAAATAATGACTGCAGTTTTGAGTATCCCTTCCCCAAAATGCTTGGGACTTCTCAGGAATGTTTTGGATTTTGGATGTTTTCCCATATTCTGGAATATTTGCATATACATGGTGAGATACTATGAGCAGGGATTGAGTTTAAACATGTAATGCATTATACATTGTATACACACAGCCTGAAGGTCTGATTACCCACTATTTTGACACTTACATTTCCTCCCTCTTTTTGGTAACAGAGATCGCACTGAGCTAGACATTTTTAAAGTTCTTACTCTGAGACAAAGTTTCAGTAATTTGCCACACTGCCGGGTCTAGGCTTGAGCTTGAAACCCTCCTGTCTCAGCCTCCCCATGTGAGGGGATTACAGAGATGTGCCACCACACCTGGCCTCTGCCATGGACATTAACCAGCTGGAGGCAGAGGGCAGTGCATGGACCTGCTTGGGATAGGCCAGGCCTTTCACCTACATGAGCCTCTCTGCACATTTGGCTTTCTCTCCTTTTTATTTTTACTGTATGTACCATTTAACTCCCTTCCACACACACACACACCCAGTTCTGGGGATTGAACCCAGGACTTTTACACTGAGCTACATCCCCAGCCCTTTTTAATTTTTTTTTTTTTCATTTTGATATAAGGTTTTGTTAAGTTGTTCAGGTGGGGCTCCAGCTCACAGAGAATCCTCCTGCCTCAGCCTCCCCAGTGCTGAGAGAGGTTACAGGCAGGCCCCACCACGCCCAGCTGGCCTTCGTCTTCATAGTGCCCCTTTTGTGCCTCCTCTTCCTCTCTTTGTCCTCCAAGCGCCCTCTCCTTTGGTCTCTTTCTAAACACCCACCCCTGGCTGCTGCTGGCAGAGCGGATTCACTCTCCTGTGGCTCCAGGCCGCCTGTGTTTGGGTTTCGCCTTCCTCCACACCCCTCCGTCCTGTCCCATCCTCCGCGCCTGGACAACCTCCCCAGAGCCACTCTGCAGAGAGGTCTCCTCAGTGTCTGGTTTTCATCTTCCGGTAAATATAAACACATGGGGACAGACTCTAGGCCAGGCCGGGGCCGCCCTCCTTCCCCTGGACTCCCCGTTTCTAGGAAGCAGAGGGGGGAGCTGGGCCAGTGCTGGTGGGGGTGCCGGGGTGTGACCATGGCCGTGGCGGGAACAGGCTGTCCCAGCTCCGGGCCAGCAGGTACATGGCGGGCGGGGACGGGATGTCCTGCACTGCATTTCCTGGGTGAGGGAGAGGGAGCTAGGCGCGGGGCATCAATGAGCTTAATCTATGCTCCTCTGCCTACACCTGCTCCCCCAAGTCACATCCGGAGGGCAAGCCTCCTGAGAACCCCTTTTCCAGAAGTGCCCCCCACTTTCACGTTTGGACACCACACGAATACCCTTCTATTTTGAAAAGCTTTCACAACTGTCCTGTGCGTGGGACGAACGGCAGAGCCATCCCAAGCACCTTATCTCTCTGGCATCACTTTGCCTGGTGAAAAAGGGACTTCGGCCTGACACCCCTCACCCCAAAACCTGACACTGGCGTGCTCCTAAGTTGTTTGGAGTGCGGCAGGCCTCGGCAACACACAAGTGGAAAATTCCACACCTGGTCTCGTGATGGGTCGCAGTCAGAAAGTCGAGGCTCTAAAAATAGCGCCTGAAATGACCTCCGGCTATGCGTGTAAAGTGCACATGAGTGCACATGCATTTTCTGGGGCATTGCTGGCCCGTTTTGCTTCTCTTCTTCCCACTCCTCCTTCTCTTGTGCCTCTAACCTAGGTCCCCTGCCCATCTGCAAAAGGCCCAGCTCCCTGTACCCTATCATTTAGCTTTCATTTTGTCTTTATTTAGACTTTGGAAATCCATCTGAGAGAAACCGCATGATACGTAAGCATGTGTGCCTGATTTATTTCACTTAGTATCATGGCCTCAAGGTGCATTCGTTTTCCTACAAATGAGTCAAATTTATTTTTCTTTATGGTTAGTGATTTTTTTTCATCCATCCCAAATTTTGTGTCTAGAGTCCATTTGCCAAGGTATCTCACATATATGCAAATACATATTTAAAAATCGTACATCTCACTGAGTGTGGTGGGACATGCCTGTAGTTCCAGCACTGTGGAGGCTGAGGCAGGAGGACTTCTGCAAATTGAAGGCTATCCATCCATCCACCTACCCACCCATCCCTCCATCCATCTGTCCCATCCATCCATGTATTCATGTGTCCATCCATTTATCCATCTGTCCGTCTATCCATCCATCCACTTGCCCCACGCGTGCATCCATCTGTCCATCCATCCATCTGTTCATCCATTCACCTGTCCTATGCATCCATCCCTCTCATCTATCTGCCCCATCCACTCGTCCATCTATCCATCTCATCCCATCCATCTTTCTGTCTGTCCGTCCATCCTTCTTTCCCTCCCTGTTCTTAGTCTGGAAAGGATTCCAGTTTCCTTGTCTGTGGCATTGCGTACTAGCCACTTGCTTGCACCTTGCCGAGGGCTCCCTAAGACCCTGTAGGTACGGTGTTCGGTAAGACGCCGGCGCTAAGCCCCAAGCACTTGCTGCCCCCGGTGTCCTCAGCTCCTGGCCAACACTACCTGCTCATCCTGCATGGCGGAGAAACGATCTGGGTCCTCAGGTCTCCAGGGTCCACAGCTGCTTTTGGAGGCCAAGACAGCAGCTCCAGAGTCAAAGGGGGGGACAGGTGATTTGGGCTCAGAACCTGCGGAGAACGCGGGGTAAGTTATCAGACGAAACTAGGACCTGGAGGACAGTGAGGAGGGTGTAGGCTGCGCCCTGGGGCGGGGCTGGAGGCGGAGGCCCAAGTGGGGAGCAGCCCATCGCAGCCAGCAGTGATCGCTGGAGGTGTCTTGGTCACTTTCCTCCTCTCTGAGACACAGCACACAACACTCCCAACTCGGAGGAGGGGCGTTGTATTTTAGCTTAGTATAGTGCTCCTGGCTGTTCCAAGGCAGGATGGATGGCCCAGGGGCCTGGCGGAGTGCAGCTGCTTACAGCAGGGTGGCCAGGAAGCAGCGGTGAAGGGCGGAGCCAGAGAGGAGCCGCCCCTGCCAGGCCACGCCTCCAATGGGCCCCTTTTTCACCTCTTCCAGCCAGACCCCGCCTCTCAACAGCACACCAAGCAGTGGACTCATCAGAGGAGGCATCCGCTGCTGAGCACAGCGTCTCTATGAGCCAATCACCATCCAAAGCACATGGCGGGGTAGGGGTCTTGGTCTAAACCATTACAATGCCTGAGGTTCTTCGTTACTCTATAGCTTGGGCTTCCTGAGGTTCTGTGGACCCCAGTCCCTGTGTTCCGGGGTCACAGCACCCTGGGTTTCCCCCACGGTAGTATGTGGGGTGGACATGCTGGGTGCAGCCTGCCTGCCTGTAACCTCCGGAGAGGTTTTTCCCAGTCTAGCCAGAGATGCACTGGGGAAAGGGGACAGGGACAGGGATGTCCATGCCCATCTCGTGTTGTTTCTCCTTCCAGCTGTGACAAGCACTGCTCCAGAGAGCCTGTATAATGTGGGGCAGGAGTGCTCCTTTAAGGAAAAAAAAATCTGTGATCCCAGCACTCTGGAAGGCCTAGGCGGGAGGATCCCATATTTAAGCCCAGCCTGGACAACTTAGTGACTTAGAAAGATCCTGTCTCCAAATAAAAATAAAAAATAAATGAAAGCCCGAGGGTGTAGCTCAGGGAAAATGCCCTGGGTGTGATCCCCAGTCCACACACACACGCACACACACACACACGCACACACACACACACACACACACACACGAAGGTAAAATTATGAATACTGAATTGCTGGGGCATTTAGGAGGTACCAAGGACAGCAGAAAATAGCCATGGTAGAAATCAACATGCTCTATAAATAGATACAAGAAAGAGAGTCATGTGCACACATGCATATGTACCAAAATAACAAGAAGATTAGAAAAGTGCCTGGCAGTTTCTCAAAAATTTAAGTGTAAGAGGTTAGTACATAACCCAGCATTCCAACTGCTAGGCGACTACCTAGGAGAATGGAGACTATTCTCTGCTCATGGTAGCATTATCCACCACAGCCAGGTGGAAACACCTCAAATGCCTACCAGTGGATGAATGACCATACAACCTGCAATATAGCCACAGAGTGGAGTATTATTCAGCCACGAAAAGGAGGGGTGCGAATTCCACACACATCACAACATGGATGACCCTTAGCAACATGTGCAGTCAAGGCAGCCAATCACCAGGACTCACGTGTTACCTAATTCCATTCTTATGAGATGTTCAAAACAGGCAAATCTAAAGGAAACAGGAAGTGGGTGAGTGGTGGCCAGTGGCTGGGAGGAAATGGAGATTGTGGGGGGGTGTGTGTGTGTGAGTTTCCTCTTGGGGTGGTGAAAGTACTTTAGGGTCAATGTGGTTGTGGTTGTACAAGTCTGGGAATGTGCTGAAAACCCACAATACGAATCCTCCAAATGAATACATCCTGTGCTGGGTGAATTATCCATGTCTCAACGAGGCTGTTGCCAAAAAGCATGAACAGGCCTCCAGCAAAGCTTTCACTGGGTCAGTGGTTTGTGGAGCCTGGGCCCCAGCGCAGACTCGGGGTATACAGGTGGGTGATGGAGGCTGATGGGAGCTGGGGTGCACCCTAAGGGACATTAGAAGGGCCTGCAGTGTCTGCCTGCTGCTCGGGGCCAGGTCCTGAGGAGGCCTGGGGCTGCCAGATCCTGCAGAGCACGAGGAGTGGGGGTTAGGGTCCGAAGGTGGAGAATGGAAGGGCAGGGAGGCGTTTACTCTTTCTGTGGAGGACTAGGATGCAGGGAGAATAATGTTTGATTTGACGACAGAATGGACTCTGATCCTGGCTTTGTAGACTGAGCCCTCACCTTTGTGTCATGGGCGGAGCCTCGGTCCCGGTGTGATAGATGAAACTTCAGTGTTCCATCATAGGGTGAGTCCTTGTCCTGTTGTCATGTACTGAGCCTGAATCTCAGTGTCACACACCATGCTCTGTCTTAAGTCAGGTTAAGCCCCAAACCCAGTGTCATAGCCTAAAAAACCCAATCTTGGAGCCATAGACTTACCTCTCCCCCAGGGCCACAAGTTGAACCTCAACTCTGATCATATACTGAGCCCTGATCTTGGATGCAGACTGAGCACTGAGCCCAGATGCAGACTGAGCCCTGATCCTGGAGGCAGACCCAGCCCTGATCCTGGAGGCAGACTAAGCCCTGAGCCCAGAGGCAGACCGAGCCCTGGTCCCAGGCGCAGGGTGACCTCTGATCCCGGTTGCGGGCTGAGCTCTGATTCTGCTGTCACACATCCAGCTCTGATATTGGGGGTGAACTTTCCCCACCAAAGCTCCGGATTTTGTCCCCTGTATCCCTGATCATTGCTGCCTGATGTTCCCGTGCAGGCTCCCACCCGGAACCATGCAGACCACCCTGTCATTTCCCCTCCTCCTCCCCCTCTTCCTCCTCCTCCTCTCTTTTCTAGTGTGACTGCCCTGTCCTCCCAGTAAGCAGGCGGGAATCCCGGAGACCATCCCATCTCCTTCCCACACGTTAGGGCACCTGACATGCCTCGCTGCAATCCCTCTGCATCTCTGCACCCTGTTTCTTTTTTACCCTGTCCTCCTCTCAAGTTCAGCCCCCATAATGGCTCTGCGTACAGACTATAAACCTTGGTGTCCTGTATGGAGCCCCAATTCTTGTCATAGACTGCGTCCTTCCAGTGGCATTGACTGAGCCCTCGTCTCTGTGTCTGATTCTGAGCCCCAATCCTGGGTCCATAGACTGAGCCCCAATTGAGTTTCATAGATCAGGCTCTCATTTGTTCCCTGAGGTGAATCCCTGATCTCAGGGTCAATACCTGAGCTCTATCAACTGCCAACTCAGATGGTCCTAAGCAGGTCCAACCACTGTCACCAACCTCAACCACCAGGCTCTTCTGCCTGGCCCCTCGGCCCTGGAGCTGGTGCGTCTTCCTGGCATCATAGTGGACTCTGGTCCGTCTGGTACTGCATGCTTTTTTATTCATCCATTTGTTTGAGACAGGGACTTGCAATGTAGCTCAGACTGGTCTTGAACTTGCCATATTCTCCTCCTGCCTCAGCCTCCAGTGTGCTGAGATTACAGGCTGGCACCGCCATGGCTGGTTTAGAATGACACTCAGAAACCTTTCCAGCCCTCCTCTGCAGCTGGTAAACCCCGTGTGTCTTGGTGCCACCTCCACGCAGCCTTCCTCCTCTTTCGGCCCTGCAGGCCGCAGAGGGCAATGTTGGCTTCTCTGCAGATTCAGCTCCAGGGCTCTGATGGCCCTGCACTCTTTATCCATACGTGTTGTGATTATTTCCCTTGTACTTTTCCTGGCCCCGGGGGTCAAATCCAGCTCCCTGTTTGACTTTATAAAGTTTTATTGGCACACAGCTAGGCCCCTTCCCCTGCGTCTCATCATGGCTTCCCTTGTGCTAGAAATGCAACTATCAGCAGTGATACTTGCACACACATCCGAGACCACACGGCCTGCAAAGCCAAAAGTATGTACAGCACTCTCTGACCTTTTATGGAGAAGTGTGCTTATCTCAGCTCCAGAGCAGAGGTCTGTGAGGGCAGGGCCTGAATCCCACCCACTTTTACATGCCCCAGGGCCAAGTGGGAAAATCCTACTGTATCAGCCATTTCCTATGTGCCTGGCACAGTGCTGGGCTTGGCCTGTGCTTATCAGTTTCTCCCATCCAACCTCTGCGGAGTCTTCACTTGCTACAGGGGGAACACAGGGGCCTGGAGAGGGACACTAATCTTACCAGTGCCCCGTCATCCCGGCTTGAGGGAGTGGAGATTTGAACCCAGGAATTTCTGAGTTCAAAACAACAGGTCACAATCACTGGGCTGTCTGGTGCTGTGTGGAATTGGCAGAGACCGTGGCCACACGCTTGTTGATGAATGATCAATAGGTGGACAAATAGATGGATGGATGGATAGATGGTTGATTGTTGGCTATTTGGTTAGCTAAATGGATGGATAGATGGATGAATGTGTGGTTGGATGGATAATTAGATAGTTAAATGGCTATCTGCCTGTCTAGATAGATGGAGCATACTGCCTGTCTAGATAGATGGAGCTGGTTGGCTGAATAGGTAAATGGATGGTTAGATGGATTAGTGGATGGTTGGATAATATCTATCTGGATAGATGAATTACTGGTTGGTTGGCTGGTGAGTTGGGTAGATGGACTGAGGATTAAATAGATGAATGGTTGGATAGTTAATTGGTTGGCTGACTGGTTGGACTGATGGATGAGAGGATGGGTGACTGGGTGTATGGTTAGAAGTGTGGACAGGTGGTTGGATAGTTCACCGACTGGATGTCTACTTGTTTATTACTGGTTGGCTGCTGAGTTGGGTAGGCAGATGGATGAATTGCTGGGTGGATGGAGAGGTGAATGCTGGGTAGCAGGTGTACAGTGGGTGACAGGTCACTGACTGGCTGGGTGGCTGATGGGTAGGGAGCTGGAAGGACAGTTGATATGACAGTGTCCAGAGCAGGGGCACATTACATCCAGAGCTGACATTCTGAGGGGGTAGTGGCAGGAGATGTAGAAGGAGGAGAGGCAGAACCAGGCCAGGAAACCGGAGAAGACAGAGAACACGCCCACCCGTGCGTGTACTGGGGGTGTGAACCAAATAACCCGGCCAGCCCGGGCAGCTGCAGCAGTCGAGG